GAAAACTTGAGGAATCTTTTAATTCCTGAGGTTTTAAAAGATTATCTCTCTCGCTATCAACGAGATGATACTTCCTCTTGCCCAAGATATGCAACAAATTGGCAGAAGCAACATCTATACTTCTTTTATTTTAGTAAAGCTATCCTTAAAAACTTTATCTTCTGCTTTGCTGACAGTAATCAATCAGGAAACAAGAAAAATTTTCAAGGTTGACTGTTAGTATGTTAAGAATTAAGTTCGTATATTGAGTCCCCATTATATTTTTCGTTCACAAGACAGCATCAGTCTTGTTTTTAAGACGCACTTTTTTAAAAACTTTTTGCAAAGCGTAAGAGAAGTAGTGCGGAATCTAATGTCTGTTACAATTCGTTTCACCTTCCATTTCATCGCATTAATTGCTGGTTAAGAAAACCGTTGAGACTGTGATAGCTGCTAGTATGGGTATTACGCTCAAGGTGCAATGTTGAAGGTTAAAGATTTCGACATACCATGGTTTTTTCGAGGCTTTCAAGGCAGTCATCATCGCAGTTGGGTTGATCCTTGCAACAAAGTTGAATGCGTGAATGAATTTCTCTTCCACATTCACCTTAAATCCAAATTTTACAGATTAGAAGTGACCTTTTCATCGTGTTTTTATTGTTTTTTTTTCACGCAATATCAGCGCGTGATATATTTTTAGCTTACTTCGTGAGAGAGATTCGCAGTCACCGGCTTTCTTATCCTCACTTGTTATCTTCACTGGCTCGTTTGTTTTTTGGAGTACCTGCTTGATATCACTGTGTTCCAGCTTCTGCTGGATGATGTTGAATCTCTTCTTTTCAATCTCGTTCATTTTCTGAAGCGGTTATCTCCTTCGTTATGCTTTTGAACTCAAAAATTTGTTTCTCATAATTGTCCCACGTCAACAGTGCAATGTTCCCTTTCGGTTTGATACTGACACACTTCCAAGGCCACGTCAACTCTTGATGATCCATCCCGTTCCATCTTTACGTCTCTGAACATTTATCTTAGTTTCTTGTTCATTCTTTTGAAAACCAACACAAAATTCATCTAAGAGGTCAAGTTCTCAGAAATCGGAGAGATATGCACTTTTTTTTTTCTGGAAAATATGCCTACTGCAGGTGTTAACGGAAGAATCTAGCAACTATGGTGGCTGTTGAGATTTGAAATATGTGACGTGAGCAACAGTTCTAGTATAGAAGAAAATTGTATTTTGTTTGACAGAGGATGGATTTGGTCGAAAAAACTCAAAATTATTACCTGATGTAATGGTTTGGTGCCAACACGGGATTTGTTCGGATTGATGGCCCTAACACGGCTATCGACTCAGTATCCCTCCAAACGCATTTTTCTCTACCAGTATCATCTTAATAACAGGCAAATGAACAACATGCACGTTAGAAATCACTTTGACTTTCATTCTTTCAAGTTATTCTAATCTCCGCTCCCCTCCATCTATGCGTCATTTGCACTATCACCTAGTCAGTAAGCGAACGTGAGATCTTATTCTAGCCTTCTCACCCCATAAATTTGCAAATCTCAATCTATTAAACTCTTTGCCTTTCTATTCGTCCATTTAAGGTGTAGTGATCGCAACGGTAGCTGTAGATAAGCTAAGATGAACGTGTTAACGAAGATTTCACCATCCTCGTAGGTGATTTTCGTCATCCCGCATCTTGCTTTTGCAAATTTTCTGTGAGCAATGCGACTGTGGAAAACATATGCTGAAGACTATGAAGGTCAGCTGTGGAGTAAAAAAATGTGGCGGTTTCACTTTTGTTGAGGCAATGCTCACTGATCTTATTCAAACTAGCAAGTAGGTTTTCGCATATTTTGAAAATGATAAGTTTGCCAAAAAAACAAACAAGGAAAGTTGCCAAGAGTACAGTAAGAAATTTGGAGGTATAGACTTACATTTTAATAAGCGAAAAGTATTTTTAGCAATAAAGTTTGAAGTCAGTCTTTGCGCATCAGTAAATATATCGTGCTGATAAAAGTTGAAATATGGGAGAGAAAGTTGAACTTTTGGGTTGAACGCCTATTTTTTTATTAAAATTTAGCACAGAATAAATCGAATTTGAAACGGTGAGTGTGTAAAAGTTGGTAAGGGAAATAGTATCTTTTCAAACCTACCGGTCTCAAGCCTTGTTGCCAAAGATGCACAGCATAGGACCATGAGAGATTTGGAATTGATTAAAAGACCAGAAACGAATGTCCTTCGTCCATGAAAGGCTCCGAATGAAGCATGAGTGGAGCAGTTTCTGCGCCATTCACATCCAGCTGCGCAGTGGTAGGGAATGAAACGGGCACAGATTGCCTAAACTTCTATGTTCAGAGTGGAGAGGCTGCATTATCAATAGTAACCTTAAACTTGCATTGTTCGATTCGTAGCTGAACAGTTTTTGTCCGACATAGCATTGAACTGCTGCGTAGGCAAATGTCGGTATCGCGAGTGCAGTGAGCAATCGTAGCATATCTAGAATGTTGAGGTGCAATCTTGAACTGGCCGCTTTGATCTGTTTTGGAATGGACTTTAGGCAACGTTCAAAGTAGGAGATTTTTCCTTTTGGGAAAGACCGCATCAAAGGAGTTTTGAGCTAGGAAGAGGAATGCTATGCGACATCGGTGACAACCGAGCTATGCGTAATGGTGCCCTACCATCTCGTGTATGGGCGTGGCGACGGTTTTCACTACCTTAGGATGGAAAATCGCCGTACAATCGCTACTAGCATCGTCGCATTTTGGAACACCTTGGTTCTAACTTGCCTTAGACCTCTCATGTGTTATAAGACTGAAGTTATGTGAATGCATCGAACAGCTTACACCGGTGCTGTATGTAGTAGGGTCGAGAAGAAGTTGGATCAATGCGATGTCTAGTTAGTGCGCCTGAGGTTACTGCATCACAAAAGAACCAGCCTTAAACGGATTGTTTTCTGGATGTTGCGATCAATTATGTGTGTCTCGGTAATTGCCGAATGCTGAGCCGCGCGTAGGTTCAAAAGTTCCGGATTTGGTGACGAGGAGCAGAGTGTATCCACAGAATCTATCAGATTAAAAGCAGACACTGTTTGCTATGTTCCTTGTTGCGACGTCGCGGGATCGCTATCGGTGTCAACGGTGATTTACAACATCCACTTGATTGTCCACAAAGATCTTGTTGAGTCCAACCAGGGTAGTCAGAGATTGGCTA